AGAGAGGGGATCTGAACGTGGGACTCCCAGATTACAGTCCAGCCCTCTAACCCTTCCACTGCACTAGCTCTTTGCAACCTCAACATATGTAAGGGAAGCAGTGATACTGAATTTTATATTTTCCTCAATTGCATGGCTGATAAGTGGAAAAGAAATAATCGGGATTTGGACAGCCTTCCTTGTCAAATATAACAACAGTTTTTTGCTTCATAAAATCAACTTGGTTAAGATGTTAGCTGGCATCAGGATACTGGCACATGTGATGTGGCTATTTATTTATTTAGTTAGTTAGTTAGTTAGTTAGTTGGTTTGATTTGTACCCTGTCCTCCCCGCCGGAGCAGGCTCAGGGCGGCTTACATAAAATTGCAACAGTAAATAACAGATAAAAACATCAATATAAATATCCTCATAAAACACAACATAATTACTAAAACCAGTTTATACAATGTTGGCTGTGCACAGTAGCAGTAAACATATAGATTACAGTCAGCAAATTATTTATTTATTTATTTTTGCTGTCAGGCTCAGGCTGGGTGGTGGTATTGGGCACAGGGTCTTAGATTATTAGGTGCAGCACCTTACCCAAAGGCCTGGTGAAAGAGCTCTGTTTTCCAGGCCCTGCAGAACTGTAAGAGGTCCCACAGGGCCCTGATCGCTTCCGGGAGCTCATTCCACCAGGTTGGAGCCGCCACTGAAAAGGTCCTGGCCCTAGTTGATGCCAGCGTGGCATCCTCGGGGCCAGGGAGGGCCAAGCAATTTTGAGACCCTGACCGTAGTGCTCTCTGGGGAACATGTGGGGAAAGACAGGCCCGCCGGTAGGTAGGTCCCTGACCATAAAGGGCTTTAAAGGTAAGCACCAGCACCTTGAAGCAAATTTGGTATGCTATAGGTAGCCAGTGCAGTGCTTTTAGCGCAGGCTGGATGTGCTCCCACATGGGGAGGCCCAGCAACAGCCTGGCTGCTGCATTCTGCACCAGCTGAAGCTTCCAGATTTGGGTCAAGGGCAGCCCTATGTAGAGAGCATTACAGTAGTCTAATCTCGAGGTGAGCATCGCATGGATCACTGTCGCTAAGTCACTGCGTTCGAGGAAGGGAACCAACTGCCTAATCAGCTGAAGGTGATAAAAGGCCAACTTAGCAGTGGGCTGCTACCTGGGCCTCCATCGTTAGGGAGGCATCCAGGAGCACTCCCAAATGCCTCACCCCCGACGCTGGCACCAATGGCACCCCATCGAAGGACAGGAGTGGTCTCCGTAACCCCAGGCCACCCCCACTCAAGCACAGGACCTCCATCTTCGTCGGATTCAATTTCAGTCAACTCAGTCTAAGCCAGACTAACCATCCTTTAGATGGGTAATGTATTCAAAAATTAAGTTCTCAAAGTGTTATTAACAGCAGTGATGAAAACGCATTCTGTAAACATACTGCGGCGCCATACCATTAATAGTATTGATTTAAATGGTTTTACTGTTTTATTCTGTGTTACTGTGTTTTTATGTGTGAGCACTACTGCCCCCTTGTAAGCCGCCCTGAGTCCGCTTGCGGGGAGGGCAGGGTATAAATATAAAAAATAAATAAAATAATAATAAATAAATAGTACTTCAAATATTCCAAGTAAAATATATTTCTAAAGGAATAAACAACTGCAGATGGGTGTGTGTGTGTGTCCCTGGCATTTAAAAATCTACAACCAGAACAACTGGTTTGTAAATATTCCCATTTTATTCAGCCGAGTTAAAACAGTTTCCCCAGGATGCCATAACATGCTGTACCCCTCAAATACCCCCTCTCTTTCCACAATGTCCATAATGTTCAACCAGCCTTACTAATTAGGTGTCCTCCACAAAACTGGATCCCTTTGAAATTAATAGCAAATACTTCCAAAGGTGGTGGTGGGGCATAGGATTGCACCTAAATTGTACCCCTGATGAATATGAGGCCATCCCATTTTCTTTTGATTAACAGTGAACTCTACAAGATTAGGGAGAATGCTTTGTTTTAGCAGTGATGAGAGAAAGTTACCCCAGACTTGATTCAGGAAGGGGTTGGCTATTACGGGTGTCGCTAGAGAATGTTCAGGGAAAAGTTCTCCCCCCAACCCCACCCGAAAATTCAAAATTCATTTGCAATCTCTGGCCATTCCTGGATCTCTAAAACTCTTCCCTCTTGAACCTTCTAATCAGCTTAACTAGCATCTGTAGGGAGATTTCTCCCCCCCCCCAAAAAAAAACACTAGGGACTGGAAAATGTAGTTTTCCCAGGGTGCCTGATATTCTTAGTTCTTGGTTTCAGCAGTGTTCCAGACACAAATGACAGGGAAGGGAAGAAAGACTGTCAGAAGAGGTACTTGAAATTGCCACAGCGGCAGCCAGTGAATAGGTGGGAAGACTTCTTCTCCAGGTTGGACTAAAATCTGAATTTGAAAAGATCTCACAGGTCCATTGCACTCACACTGCATTGAAGGTGAGCAACAAGAGTTCCTGAGGTTTCTGTGCCAAACCACAGAAATACAAAATTTGTAGCAATCACCCATTTTTATTCACAGTGACTTGGGAGAATAAAAAGGACTCCACGTTCTTCTTGGAACTTCTACTTTTTCATTACATTAACTATGAAGTGATGGGGCAGAAAGAGCAGCAACATCAGAACATAGCAGCCTACCACATTCTTCCCCCATACACTGTGTGTTCTCACAGAGGAAGGAAAGATAGGGCAGATGAGAGAGATCACAGTTTTCAAGTATGAGCAATTGCCCAAGTAAGAAGGTCATGCCATAGCTCCTTCCCCAACATTTGTGGTATGTGCCAGGAGCTTCTTTTTAAAAAGCTGATAAAAATTCACAATTAATGTGCTTGATCAGTATAATTAGCAAAATATTTGCATAAGATGCAAATTAGACTCCCTTGCTTTGAAGACCTGGGTATAGCAACTGAGCTATACAATTTAGAAATCTAAGGTCCCGTCCACACGAGGGGATTTGGGCCAGTTGCGGGCCAGTTTGGGGCCGGATCAAACTGGCGCGATCACACCACAACATCTGGGAAGCGTCCTGCTTCCGTGCCCGAACTGGCCCTTCCCCGCCCTAATCCGGAGCAAATTGAACCACCTACCTTGGGTGGTTCAACTTGTAGGCGCGCTTCAACCGGGCGTTTGATCGCCGGCGCTTCCTTGCGCCAGCTCAACCCCGGCCCGGAGCCGAACTGCGCATGCCCGGACATGCGCAGTTCGGCCAGCTCCCGTTCGGGCCGTGTTTTCTCCCCGGCGTTTGATCACGCCGGGGAGAAAAGGCGGCGCGGCCAGGGGATCCGTGGGATCCCGCCATGGCGCCTCAAAGTTGGCGCGGCTTTTAAAAGCCGCGCCTTAAGAGGCTTTTCCCCTGCCGTGTGGCAGGGGCCTAAAGAAGCCTACACAGTTCATTGTTGTTGGGTATTATCAGGCACCCTCTGTATGTTCAACTGTCTACTGAAATGGAGAATGAATCTATTCATCTGTATCTGGATAGGTCATTCATCCCTGTAGTCCTGAATATAACACTCAGAAGGAAGCAGCAAAGGTCCAGATTTTCCACACATACTCTGGCCTCATAGTTCTGCTGTTGGTGCCAGAAGTTCTTACCTCACACTTCATTGCTGAGGCCCAATCAATCATGCATAGAATATAAAAGGAAGGTATACCTTCAAGTTGCTAGCAATACCAACCACTTTATTGCTTTGAGGATCTTGGTTGAAAAGAGGGTATATTTTGATTTGAAGCAGTGCAAGGAAGAATAAGAAGAAGCACTAATACCTGTATGGAGTGGAAGAACAAGAACACAGACCTAAGAGAGGAACAAACCAGGTAAGATAGATTCAGGTGGGTAGCCGTGTTGGACTGAAGCAGCAGAACAAAGTTTGAGTGCAGTGGCACCTTTAAGATCAACAAAGGTCCCTGCCACACGGGGGGAAACGAATAGGCGAAAGTGCGGCTTTATAAAGCCGCACCAAAAGAAACACGCAGCGGCGGGATCACATTGATCCCCGCATTCTCTCCCCGGCATGATCAGATGCCGGGGAAAGTGACAGTGGGGAACGGGAGACTGCCGAACTGCGCATGTCTGAGCATACGCAGTTCAGCCAGGAGCCGGGGATGCGCCGGCAGAAGGACGCGCCGGCGATCCCACGGCCGGCCTTGATGCGGCTACACTGGAAGAACCACCTCGGTAGTGGTGTATTTTTGCTGCGTCTTTTCGGGGGTTGGGACAGATCGGGGATGGGTGTGCACCGCTTCCCAGATGTTGCGGTGAGATCGCGCCCATTTGCTGCGCCCCCAATCCGTCCCTCTCCCGGGCCAAACCTTTACGTGTGACCGGGGCCAACGTTTAATTCAAGGTATAAGCTTTCATGTGCAAGCAAACTTCTTCAGATACTTCTTCAGAAACCAGGTAAGAGTTAATGGAAAACAGTGACAGAGGCACAGAGTGGGGATGGCAGCAGAAGGAAAGGGGTGCCTGGATAGGAAGCAAGCAGGTATCCAGGACCCATCCTGGGTACTTTACTGACTGCAGCTAACTGGAAGGTGACTGTTGGCTGTGAATTCTAAAAGATGTGTATATCTTATCATCATAAAAATAAGGCTGTCAGCACAATACCTTCAATTAGGGCACGTATTCCAAAGAATGAATTTATAACAACAGCAGCAGGACTAAGATGTATCCCAATCCAAAATTCAAAAGGAAAAAAACACCCCACATATTCAGTAATACCACAAACTCCCCTTCAAGTACTCTCCCCCTTTAAAAAAATTATTACATTTCCAAATCTGATGTGGAAAATGTGTTCAGAATACAGAAAGAATCATACTGATAATCAGTTTCCTTTCAAACACAAGAAGTTCTGGTCAATTTCATGCAGCATTTTAAAAACCAATTTCTGCTAACTTCCTTTTCCTTAATAAGTGGAAACACTTTGGAACTGAAGAGGAGTAAAATCATCACAATCTATAGCAAAATGGTAACTCATACCTGGATTGGTGTTTCTAGAAGCCCTTCCTTTAGGGGCCGGGAGTAACAATAATTCCAAGGACTGTGGTGGAGTTACTTTCTCTTGCTTCATGTCTGAAAGCTGCAGGGGATCGTCCGCAACCAGTGACTTTTTCTTCTCTGCCAACAGACTGCCTGCAGCTCTTGCAGCTACCTCCTTGAGCAGGGCTGCTGAAGAAGTCATTGAGGCGAGAGAAAGGAAAGAACTAGCTGGCGGTGGGTGGTCCTGCCCAGGAGTCATGCTTCTTTCACTGACTTTCTTTGATAATGCGGCTAAGGTGGAACTTGCAGACTGTGAACTAAATGGTGAAGAAAAGGATTCAAATCTTATAGGCTCTTCAGTCCGGGAAAGGGACTTGTCCTGAAGAACTGCATTGGCTGCTGCTTTCAATTTTAGAATAGCTGAATCTGGAGACAAACCGCAAGAGGGCGCTGAGCTAGGCAACCACTTGCCTTGATTCCATATAAAGCGGTTATTATTTCCACCATATTGGTCATTTTGTTCCTGTTTTTCAGCAAGCTTTCTAGCAAGGACACTTAGCTGCTGAGCATGGTGCGTAGGTGAAGAAAAGGAGATATTTGAGCCAAGATTTACAGGGGACTCAACCCTGCCGTTAACTGGGACACTAGTGTCTAGCTTGAGAGAACCAGCCTCCAGCAGACGTCTCAGGTTACTACTTAGTGGCTTATTGGGACCAGGAGTGTCATCTTCACATATAGAAGACACACCAGGAGACAGGTGTTCTTTATTCTGTAACACGTCCCTTATAGCCTCGTTCTCAACAGCTGCCAGCTCGAGCATGTTGCCACTAGGAGTTGCACTCCCCAAGGAAGTGTCTGGAGATGTGGATTGTTCTTGGATCCTATCCTCAAAGGATAATTTGAAGTTTTCCTGAACTTCTCCATAGGATGCTTCTGATGGGGTTTCTGAAGAGTTTCCAAACCAATGTTCTTCCTCACTAAGTTCACCGTCTGCTTCTTCTTGTCTAGTACCATCTAGGAAGAGCAAAAAGACTGACTTGTATTTCAAATTCTGTCCAAGTTATTTATTTGCAATATTTATATATCACACACATATTCAGTTGTAAATATTTTTCCTATTATTTTGACACCATTTCCCTTCCCAATGAAACTGTAACAAAAACATGAGTAATAGGCTTATTGCAGGTGCCAGTGCATCATATTAAGTTATTAATAATCAGATTCTCAAGAAGTATTAGTCTGGTGTATCGTTAGAAAAACGTTACAAGCCTACAACAAGATAAGAATTTCAGGTCAGAAGAACTGCAGATATGAACACAAATAATGCTTCTCTTTTAGGGTTTTGATGTAACCATGTACACATTTAATGCATAGGTTTGCAATACTTGATTCCTGAAGCTGACCATGTACTTAGTAATGTTATTTAAAACAGAAAAGTAAAAATGACCAACAGTTATATTCTAGCAGAGGTACAGCCTTCTAAACTTATTAACTTCAGCGGAATTAGAATGATGTAACTGTGCTTACATTGCTCTGCAAGAAGTATACATAAAACTCCATGACTGACTAGCGATACATTTTTTATTAAGGCTATTCATAATAAAATAATTGACTTGCACCAAGACCTTTCAGGTCCCTCTCCCAATCTCACTCCCTTGCATTCCTTGAAGATCGGGAGACTACACTCATTCCTTTGCAATGGATTGCTTCCCTGAGAACATATGAAAGTGTTTTATGCACACACCTGAGCTTTTTAAAGTAATTTTAAGAAGCAGTAATTCTCCATTATGTTATCCATAACATAGTAATATTTCTCGGTATTTGAAGTATATTTTCTAGACAGCCGAGTTAGGCATCAAGGGCTCCTCTGTCAAAAAAATGCCAACCTTTTTGAACAAAACTAGAATCGCTCTTTCATAAGACCGCATTCTAAAGGAAGAAGTTAAAATGAAGAAGAGTTCCAGCAGAACTGTAGTTTTTCAATTGAAGACTGTTTGCTTCCTTAACCACATTTTCTCATCATTGGCAGTTCTAACATATCTTCTGTCTCCTGAGATCTGACTAGCAGTGTTTAAAGGGCAGTGACCCTGGATTGCTCTTGCTCACAATGGGCACTGAGAGAGATACAGACATGGCCAAAACAGTGTTTGTGCAGCAGACTAGCCAATCCAAATGTAGTAAAGAACAGCAAGGTTAGCATTAAACAGACATTATCTCTTCCTCCTGCTATCATTATTCATACAACTGCATTTAAAAATGAATGTTCCATCATGTAAAACGGGTAACACAAATACCAAAATACCAAAACCTTTAGGATAAGAAATCTAATACAGTAAGCACTTTGACTAAAAAACTGACTCTGGTAACAGCAAAGCTTCCAATTACTTGGAGAGAGGCACAACAGAAAGTATACCTTGAATAGTTATCTAATTGCATTAAGGTCACAAAACATTAGACAATTGCTGAAAGTGTATAAACAGTGGAACTCCTCACTAATATTATTCCGAGTGTTTTTGTTCCAAAAAACAAGCAAAATGATGAGCATGCCCGTTCAGACATCTGCCTAAGTATAATATACATCATATCAAGTCTCTAGTGAGATGTCAGGGGTGAGGGAAGAAAGTTCATTTTCAAAACAAAACAAAACACACAATCTGATCACCTCCATCAATTCGTGCAACTATTAAATATTTGTCCTAAAACTTCCTTATAAAGTAGTTGTTTGTTTTACTTTGAGTTAGTCAAAGCTCTAAAACGTTCAAAAAAACCTACTACTGCTTAGAAACATGCGGCTTTGGATCTAATAATAGCTACACAGTCTGATTCTGTGGCAAGCAAACCATGCCTAAACCTACTGAAATCAAAGGGGTTGTGGCAAGCTATGCAAAAGACTGCAGCCTGGAGAGGGGTGCAGCCTGGAGTGGGGGGGGATATCATTTAAAACTTTTCTATACTAATTTTACATAAGCTCAAAGCATTTTAACAGTAAAATAGTATTGATATAAAAATACATAAAACAGTAAAAACACTATGTAAAATATTTAAATCCCCAGAAGGTAATGCAAGCAAAACTGCAAATCATTCAACTGCCCTCTAAAAAAAAAAGAAATATTTTGTTTCCTTTCCAGAAATTGGTTAAAGATGTTGCTTTCTGAACATTTTCCAGAATAACAGTGCAATCCTAAGAAAAAGGACTTCAGTGGACTCAGAATAGTCCATTGGGAATTAGATAAGCATATGGAGCAGAGGTCCATCGGTGGCCATTAGCCACAAGGTATAGATAGGGACTCTGGGGCAGGTGATGCTCTGTATTCTTGGTGCTTGTGAGGCAACAGTGGGAGGGCTTCTAGTGTCCTGGCCCCACTGCTGGACCTCCTGATGGCACCTGGTATTTTTGGCCACTGTGTGACAGAGTGTTGGACTGGATAGGCCATTGGCCTGATCCAACATTGGCTTCTCTTATGTTCTTAATAGTGTAATTGTGGTTGGGCTTGCACTGAAGATTCCCAAGGTTAGCTACCATTACTGTAAATGTATTGCTTCTGGTTGCCATTGTCCTTACTTTGTGCAGTTACAACACAGTAAGCCCAGTTGCCTGTCACTCTGATTTTAATTGGAGCATGGGCTCATACAGCAAGAGTTATGTGGGTCCCAGATCAGAGCTTTAAAGGCTGAAAGCAGCACCTTAAATTGAACTCTGAAGCAAACGAGTAAATCAATGTAACCGGCATAAAAGAGGTCAAATATCATCACACTTTCCAGGTTCTCACAGAAGGCACACCACTGCATATTGCACCAATTGAAACTTCCAAACTGTCTTCAAGGGAAGCCCTACAAAGAACAAACTGCAGTAATGAAGTCTGGAAGTTACAGAAGCATGAATCAATATAACAATGTCCGAAATGTCCAGATGAAACTTCAGCATGTGCATCAGGTATAAATGGTAAAAGGCCCTTTTAACAACAATTCAAACCTGTTTTGTTTAAAGTGCAAAGTTGGGCCTATGAGCACCCCAAGGGTTTTTAACCTGATCTGATAATAAAATCCCATCAATCAAAGGCAGATCCATCCCACTTAAACCCCAAGTGCTCCCACCAACATGACCTCATTCTCATAGGATTCAATTTAAGTTTGTTTTCTCATCTATTTGATCACAGCTTCTAGGCATTTGTTTAGGATAACCTGTTCCTGGATGCTTAATGAAATACAGAGCTCAGTGGCATCAATATATGAATAACAGTCAATTCCAAAGAACAAAGTTGGAGTCCAGTGGCACCTTTAAGACCAACAAAGTTTAATTCAAGGTATAAGCTTTTGTGTGAAAAAACACTTCAGATACTTGCACACGAAAGTGTGCTTCAGATGTGTGCACACGAAAGCTTATACTTTATTAAACTTTGCTGGTCTTAAAGGTGCCACTGGACTCAAACTTCATTCTACTGTTTCAGACCAACATAGCTGCCCACTGGACTCAATTCCAAATGGATAGCCTCACTGAGTGGCTTCCTGCAGATGTTAAACAACAACTGGTGATAACATGGAGCCTTGGTGTACTCCAGACAACAGGGTTCAGGGAGCTGGCATAGTTTCTTCAAACACAGCCCTTTCACGGCCACAGCACAGAAAATGATGACATCACTGGAAAGTGCTCCCTGAGACTCCTATGAGATCTTTTAGTCGATCTAAAAGAATGGCTATTTTACTACATACAAGCCAAGAAGATCAATAAGGAGGCATGCCCCTCATGAGCCTCATCACCAAAGCCATCTGTATCCCATGACAGATGAAGCCAGATGGAAAAGGATCGAGAAAAGATGCATCATCTGAGAATACCTAGATCCGATTTAGAAAAGAGAGTCCAGTAGCACCTTAGGGACTAATGAGATTTGAGGTAGGGCATGTGTTTTCGTGAGTCACTGCTCACTTCTTCAGATACCTGAGAAGTTTTCTGCAGTAATAATCCTATGCTAATTTATTTGGCAGGAAATCTCATTTAATTACTGAATAAATATGCATAGAATTGACCTGCAAGGAACCAGTTCAGCTTTACTCCTTATTTTTGTGAAATCTCCCTAGGGCTAAGTCAAAGCAAGCAATTTGATTTCACAGTCTTACCTCAAAATGGGACACCTTCTTTTGACTTTTATATCATCCCCCTCCCCAAACGTCTGTCAAGCTTCTAGTGAGTAGAATTCTGAGTTCTTTTTTCCCAGGATCACATGATGTCTCCACACAAATGCATGATGACATTCAGTGACATGCTCCCTGATTCACTAGTCAGACTGTTTTGGAATGTGAGAACACAAGATACCTAGAGCACTACAAGAAATACAGACACATTGGAAAATGGCTATCTTTCCTCTACCATCAGCTATTCAGACAAAGGGCAATATAAATGACTTTGTTTGCCCCCTCTATCAGCACTTCCACAAGAAGATTTCTAATTCATTGTGAATATGACATGGAGGAAAAAGAAATTTAAAAAATGGCACCAAAGCAACAGGGATGTGAGCTTGCAAACTAGCATGCAAAAATGGTGTACCTTAACACCAAGGACCTTTCCTGTGGGAAGACATCAGGACCAAAGTTATCATCATTTCCACCTAACTTTTAAATAAATGATACATCCTAATTACTCATAACATTTATCAGCGTGATTTTGACTCCGGCTTCATAAGAATGCATACGAATATGAAGCCAATGTTGTAATGCAAGAGGGGACATCACCTGTAACAGATAAGAGCACAAGAAATCTATTTTTTCCTTCAAGTTAAATCTTCACCTCAGTCAAACATATGGCTTGGCTCAGTCAGATTCAGTTACTGTAACTCCAAACAGATTTGTTTAGCGGTATTTCAGGTGCCTCAAAAAGTCAACACTTTCTTATTGCTACAGGAATGCTGTGAGAGGAAGTCATTTCAAAAGGCTGAAGCTCCCCTCAGTGTACTGGCATTGTCTTACTGTCTAAGATTTCAGGTAATCTCTATCTCTAAATGGGATTTTGGAGCACTCTG